AAATATGCCGCTCAAACACTATACTTTTCTGCTCACACTGAAAAAAAATTAGAGGGAACATTGGTTGGGACATCAACATTTACTCACTCCACATTCATAGCATTTTGACTTGTCATAGTAATTTTTCCTTCGGATGAATTCTGCAGCTCTTCCATTATCAATAGCAATACTTGCTTTTATTACTCTTCCAAATAGCTAAAAAATAAAAACAAATACAATTTTAGCTTTCAGAATGTCTCAAAAGTTACTTAATAATATACCCTTGTAACTTACCAGTTTATTATTAAGTGCCCGAGAACAGTTCTGTGCCGACTCTTTATCCAAGAACAAAATAAATGCAACTCCTTTACTTCTTCGTGTGTCTTTGTCTTTCATAATTGTAACTCTAGAAAAAAAATACTGATATGTTCACATACTATTACAACAAGAGAGGTAAGCCTTACAGTTATTCAGGTTGCCTATATTATTCATTTCAAATTCCAGGAAAAGGGCAGCTATCAAAGTAAACACAGCATGAGGACATCCATAAAAAACTACCAATGAAACTCAAATCATTTCCAATAAAGGACAATAGAGAAAAAAGTTACTAAACTCAAAAAATACCCTTTATTGAGAATCATGATATATGAAAAATGTTTCTAAAAGCAAAGACTTGACAATAAATGAATCAGGTCCATTCATGAACTATTTGTGGATCTTCACATTACACGTTTGCATAATACTAAGATCAACAAGTATATTGTCAGAGCAGTATGTGTCATTATCCTTTCTCATTAAAACATGCTTTCAATTTTTCCTCTCAAATAAGATTAAAATAAAAATCCGTAATGATACTGCTTGTTAAAATTCTAAATCTGTTTGACAGATTCTTATTCTAGTTGTTTCAACCTAGCATTGTTGAAATGTAATGGGACTGAGATTCTATTGATATAAAAATCAGCTTGTTTTCTGCCTGATGTAATACCTTGGTCCTTGAAGATACTTGGCATTTCAAGTATTTTGGACTTGAGAAACTTCAGCATACACACCTTATTCAATGTAATTCAGGATGCGATTGCTACTATGACAGGCTATTTAAAGTCATAGATACCAGTGACGTGCGGTGAGGTTTATGGCTGGTGAGGCATTGACACAGGGGTTTCAATTTGTTTTAGACTTGTGGACTTCAACTCCCAGAATTCCACAGCCAGGCATGCTCAGTTCCAATTTAAAGCAACAGCATTTGTTTTTTTCCTTTGCGAAAAAGTTTTCCTTCATTCTTTTTCTTCTCCCTCCTCCTCCCTCCCGCCCCTCTCTCAAACAGACACAGGCACACAGAGAAGTTGGATCCATCTCTCACTCACTCTCAAACAAACACAAACACAGACGTTGGATTGGATATATTTTCCAATGGCTTGAAAGCAGCTCCTCTGCTATAACCCCCCCCCCCCATTCCCCTGCTGCCTTCCGATCCGAGCCTTTGATTGCAGGTGGAGCCACATTGCCTTTTCAAACTTGTAATCAGTGAAGCTGGGCTTATATACTTTTATCCAGTTGTTTGTGTGTAAAGGAAACGT